AACAATTTTTTTCCTTCAGGAGCATGTCCTTAAAACTTATCCTTCATTGTCTTCCTTTTCACTAAAATCACTTTTATTAAAGGCTTTCCTGGTTGTTGGCCAGTCAAATAAAGCTTCATAGTATTCATGTGGAATCAATTCTCTCAGTTTCTTGAATTCTTCGATCTTGGCCTTCTTTATTAGGATCTTAGCAGTCTGGTATGCTAGTTGGTTGGTGAGAGTTAAACAGTTTGAGTATTGTGTCATAAAAAAAGTGTGGCTTACTAAACCTTGTATTGTGTTGTGAGCTTTAATATAGCCTTTTTTCTCTTTGTTATAAACTACTTATGCTGAAATGTACTTTTCTCTCTTTTGGGATATGCTTTCCTTTAGTTTCAGAGGAAATACACGATTTTTTGTAGTGCTCTGTGTGCCAACTTTTAAAGTCTAGTATATCTGATGGGTTCACTTCCATTATAGTGAATTTATTAGTGTTTGAACTTTCAGTAACTTGGTGTAATGTAAAAATGCGGTCATGCTGACGCAAAACTTTGGTAATAGTGCCAAAGTCTCTGTCACAGGGAAGAAAGCTGTGGCCCCTTATAGGGAAAAACTGTTTAACTTTGTTGAATCTGCCACTGTCTGTCAAATACAGGCAAAATCTAGAAAGGGCCTGATTCTTATTTTGCCCACATAGTTGTCTGCAATTAAACGAAGCGTGGTTTTAGTTTTTGGAATCTTTTTTAAGAAGCTGCTCAAATACACACTTCATTTGTACCTTTATGGCCTAAGCCTTCATGATGGACCTTATGTGGTTACTCAAAATATCATAGACGTTTTGAGGAAGGGACCTACTTATACTTTTTCTTCTTTTAACTTCTGGCGTCTGTCCTACTATTTTCAAATACAAATATCTAGGTATCACTATTTCACAAGATGGAGGAAGCCATAAGAGAAAGAAATACGTCAGGAAGAAAAGCTATCACAATGTTAAACAACATTTTATGGGACCAATCCATCAGCAAAGAAAATAAAAAGAGGATATATGAGACTATAGTAAAAAGTATCACTTTATACAGCTGTGAGGTGTGGCCACTGAAAGAAAGAATACTGTCAACGCCGAAAGCCACAAAAATGGATTTTTGGAGAAGAGCCGCAGGAAGATCTAGAAGAGAAAGGATTACCAACGAACGCATTAGAGAAATAATGGGAATCAAACGAACAATCACAGATGGCCTAACAACAAAACAACTTATCTGGTCCGGACACATACAAAGAATGGATGAACAACGAATGCCAAAAGAAATATTAAAATGGCAACCAGAAGGAAAGAGAAAACGAGGTCCGAAAAAAAGTTGAAGCGAAGGAATAAATAAAGAACTGAGAGAGAAGGCCATAGAAGAAGGCCTATGGAACAACCGGTCTAAGTGGCTATTGGAAGTCGGAAAACGGCGGAGAACGTTATAAACCGACATGTAGTAGTAGAAGTAGTAGTAGTAGTAGTAGTAGTAGAGAATATTTATGTTCAAGTGCTACTGATAAGTACTTTCCTGGATCAGTGTTACTACAAAAAATTTAATTAATGGTACATCTATAGTAGATTCATGTTCAACTACTGCTACTAAGGACTCTTTTTGGATCATTTTTGCTACAAAATTTTGATTAGTTGTTTTGAAACCTCCTTAAACTCTCCGACCATATTTTGTTGGTATTCCTTTTTGTCTATTGTCATTGTCTGCGGTTTATTAAAACGATTAATAATAAGAATAACTATAAAGAGGTTACCAAATTAACTTATAACAAATACTATTAAATAAATTAGCACGTACTTTAAAAAAATCTTAACATAAAATTTCAAACAAAAAGATATGAAAGTCTTAATGAGTTTATCTAAACTGATCTATTATATTTATGACAGTAGCCTTCTCTATTTTCCACTCAAGTTAATCTCCTAATTAAAACTAACGACAATTTACTAAAGTACTTAATTCGCCAGCTTTTTTAAATTTGTCGAAAGAAAGCCGTAAAATTCCAGCTGCCACGTTTCTGCATGAATTTTCCCATTTGAATATTCCTAAATTATATTGCTTCTTTTTTAATGCTGCTACCAGCATTTTTAAGTTAACGATGTACTTCGTGGTTTTGTATATTTTGCTGAAAGCCCTCAGCGGAAATGTTTTTGAGGGAAATCGTAATGAAACATGAAGGTTAAAATAAGTTTTATTGACGTTTCAATTTTCACTTTGGAAATCGTTCTCAAAATACAAACATTAGTAAATTAAACAAATTTTGTTTTTTTGTGAATTAGTGAAAAATTCTTCTAATAATTTAATTTTGTCTGACTCATTTATATTGACAATTGAGACATACATTGTACATTTTGACATATATTATGCATTTTAAAGTAGGCGACTTTAAAATGATATTGCCAATATTGCTGAGTTGCGTTTCTGGAACGACTTTATTGTAAGATAGTTCATTCGATTACATGAGACCAACTTTAACTTAGAGAATATCCATTAGAGACTTAGAGAATATTCATTAGAAAAAAACATAGCATGTGATTAGTCTTTAAAAAGATAACCAAATGCCATGACAGTAAAATTCTCCTGTTAGTGATTCCATAGTAAATCATGAGGAAAAACCAGGCCACCAATACTTAGGCCACCATTGCTTAAAATCAAAAATCTCACTAGTTTGAACTGCTTTTGGCACTTAAATTAACAATAATTTCTGTGTACTTATGAATTTCAAATATTCTGTTAACTTTTTTTAAGTACCTTTTTATGACACCGAAATCCCTATCACAGGGCAAGAAAGACCTCTAATGGAAAAATAATGTTCAATTTTATATGTTCAATTGTGTAGCTGCCTTAAGTTAGTTTACTAATGTCATATCAGTAGGTTATGATTACGCTCAAGGGGCTCTAGGCACAATGGATGGGGACTCGTTGTCAGTTGTCACTACTTGGCAGAGGGATCATTGTTAGAACATGAGATTTTAATATTGTTTTTTATTGATTTTTGCAGACATTTGTTAAAAGTATGTTTAAATAAATGTATTGAACACAATGAAATATTATGCCTTGGCGCAGTCTAATGGAAATTAAACGAAAATCATTGAAGCAAGGTTACCAAATACATTATCATTTGAAGGGAATGTGGCCGAAAATTTTAAACGATTTAAGCAAAGTTTTGAAATATATCTGATGGGATCAGGAAAAAGTGGTAAAAGTAATGAAGTTAAGGTAGCAATTTTACTCAATTTAATTGGAGAAGAAATATTGTATACAAGGGTGGCCAAGCAAGCAATTTGATTAAACCCAGCCTATGAGAAATGTTCACCTAGGTAGTACGATCGGGTGTAACAATTCATTGGAGCAAGGTGTGTTAACTCGAGTTAAAAACAGGAATCACCCCACCGTGCTCCAATGCTCTAGACCATCCCTTTCCCCCCTATAGCAATCTGATTCGCTATAGAGGCACAACAATCAGCCAAATGCTCTTCATGTGGAGGTCCTGGGTAATAGAACCCCAACATGGTTTCCTAACCGAATGCAAAAATTCAGGACAGCGCATCTCCGCTATATTCCTGTTTATCTTAATGTGGCTTATCCGCGATACAAGGGTGGTCCAAAACCTTGTCAAGAGTGAGCGATTCAATTAGGTATTAATAATATATAAAAAAACTATATTTACTTGACAGACTAATATTTTACAAAGACAGGGTTATAGTCCCAAAAATATTGAGAGAGAACATGCTAAGACTATTGCATTCGAGTCATTTTGGCATTCATAAAACCCAACAGAGAGAAAGACAGATGGCATTGGCTACAAATGAACAAAAGTATAGAAGACTGTGTAAGGAATTGTAGGAAGTGAGATATTTAAAAGTCACAATGCTAAAGAACCACTATTACTTAGAGAGTTGCCTCAAGCACCTTTTGAAAAGTTAGCAAGTGATATATTAGATTATGGTGGACAGTCATATCTAGTTCTGACCGTTTATTTTTCTAAATGGCTCGATATAATGAAAATTAATTCAAAAACTTCTCAGGTGGTCATCAAGGAGTTAAAGAAAAAATTTTCAACACACGGAATACCCTACGAAGTCAGCAATTTGCTAAAGACTTAGATTTTCGGTTTGTAACGCCCAGTCCCTGCTATCTAAGGTTTAATGGGCAGGCAGAACAAGCTGTTCAAATTGCAAAAACCATGTTTAGAAAGTGTGACGACTTAGATGTGGCGCTCCTGGAGTATCGTTATACTCCAATAAATGAAACAGATAAAACACCGGCCCAATTAGTGACTAACAGGGTTCTTAGATCGAAGCTATCATCAAATAAAAAGCACAAAGACATCAATCTAGAGAAAGAGTGGGAGAAACTAAAGGCAAAAAGAAACGAATATAAAAATTATTATGAGAGAAACACCAAGGTAAGAAGGGAAATAGTGCCAGGAGAGAATGTAGGTGTCAGAGAGGGTAAAGAATGGAGACCAGGTAAAATTCTGGTAGGAGTAGATGAGGTACCCAGATCTTATTTAGTGCAGAAAGAAAATGGGAAAGTGGTCAGGCGAAACAGTTATCACTTGAGACCTTCCCTAGTTAATGCGGAAATTACGAAGAATACTGATTTTGCACATAATGATAGATCGTTGAACTCCTCATTTGGGAATTAGAGTTGTGGAGTAGAGGAACCTTCAACATCCCAGATGAATGCTGAAAATAGTACTAGCGCTAGACTTAAAAGAGCTCCAGTGCGTTTTAATAACTATCAAATGTATAAAAAGGGGGGGAAATGTCGTATCAGCTCTAGGTACAATGGATGGGGACTCGTTGTCAGTTGTCACTATTTGGCAGAGGGATCATTGTTAGAACATGGGATTTGGATATTGCTGATTCTTGCAGACATTTGTTAAAAAGTATGTTTAAATAAATGTATTGAACACAATTAAGTATTATTACTCTTAGGTCCTTAGGTCCTTGAGTATGATATCACTCCTCGGACAAAATCCGTGAAATGAGTTGTACCATACTACTTCCCTATTTGCACCTAGTTTTAAGTGAGGTAAAACCTACGCAATATGCGTATGCCCCTCTTGGAGAAACTCCGTTTTAAACTTGAAAATCCAAAAATTTTAACCATTTACGCTTGTGAGTTTACCATGATTGACTTTTGCTGTGCTTACCCGAGTAAAATGTTGTGTAGTCTTAACTTTTTTTACCAAAACCTATCTATAGTGAAACATATATTTACATTTCATCAAAAACACTTAAATTAACACTTCCCGCTAATCAACTGAATAAATTCAACATTTCCACACGCCAAATTCGCATTAAGATTATTTCATTGTTAATTTCTTTTTAGTGCAACGCAGCAGTAGGCGTGAAAGCCTTCTTCGATATGATGCACAGCGGACCCCACAAACTCATGCTGTTCGGGGCAGCGTGTACTCATGTAACCGACCCCATAGCTAAAGCTTCCAAACATTGGCACTTAACACAGGTAAATAAAACCATGTATAAATAGAAAGTGTTATGTATACTACTTATAGATTAGATCTACATTATTCTCATCGAATTTACGACGATTTTTGTATGAAGATACGATCAGGGTACAAAATAAATTGCTATAATATACACGACAATGTATTTACTAATTTAGTCAAGGTTTGTGAAGTATATTTAGAAATGAATAGGTTACTCTCAATGGAAAACGATATTTATGATTATGCAGACAAAACTTTATTTATATTTGATTATATTAACAATTCTAATTAACAAAAAACTTTAAAAAAATACTCATTTATGTATATCTAAGAAATAAATGTTTCCTTGTTATATTCCATATAATCAAATTTTATACGATAATTAATAATATTATTATACATAAATAAGGGTATAGTTTGGGTCAAGACATAGAGTTGGGGTATCTACATTGTAAAAAATTACGTGCACCATGCCCTCCATGTTATGGCATGCTAGACGAGCCACACAGTCTGTAGTCAACACCCCTATATGAGCGGGAACACAAAGTGTATCAATACTCATACGCTTATGAAATGTACGTGGCGCAAATTATGAATGTTCCTTTGAAAAACACTTTTTTTAAAAGCACAAACACTCAAAATAAACTTTTATTTACACTAGTAAAGGTTTTAGTTACAACTCAAAATAGATGTATAGGTTCTGACGTGAAGTTGGCAATTTAGGTCCAAGCGAGATGGTTTCGGCGTTGGTAAGAGATTCTCGTACTACGACGCCTTGCAAAATTTATCTGGAAATAATGATAGTTCTCTGTTTTTCTTTTACTGGAACTTTGACTTGGCTAATGGAATTTGGTTCCAAGTGAATGAAATAAAATTGGGTTTTATTTGTTTCATAATATTTAATAGGGATTGTAGAATTTTTTTTTAACTAGAAGTGATTTAAGAAAATATAATTGAGCTTCAAAGAGTTTTAAATTTTCGAGACAAATAAGGCCATCAAAAGATTTGTGAAATTTAAACAGATAAAATTTTACCTGGTTCTCACGATTAAATTCTGGAAATGAAGGAATTTCAGCATAATATTTTTGTGAATAATTTTGAAAAATTGATATAACAACGAAAGGTTCATGTTTTATATAATTTGGAAAATATGAAAAAGCTATTTCTGGATTAAGAAAAGATTTTGTGGATCCTATATCGATAAAAAGTCGTAAACGAGGCTTGGAAATTTCGATATAGGGGAGCTCCTTTTTATCTGAAAATGAATGGAGTTCTATTAGGTTTCGACTGCTTCGCCTGGGTCCTCTGGAAAATTTACGTCTTCTTTGTACTCTGGTTGTTGATTATTGTGATCATCTTGGAAATTTTCGTAATCAGGTTCATAGTACTGGTAGTTGGCATTATCTTCTTCCCTATCTCTTTGGAATTGTATATTGTATAATTCTTCGAAGGTAAACTTTGGCTGTGCTCGGTAGCTTGGTGTGAAGTTTTGGCGGCCCTTGTTTGTGGTACCTGATATTCCACTTATTGGTCTCGGTCTCGGACAAGACCTGACACATCTAAAAAGAGATGACTACTAGAAACAACAAAGATGAAAATACTCCGACGAATATCAGGGAGAAGTCTGTTGGATAGGGAGAGGAGTGAAAACAAGAATGCAATATATATATATATATATATATATATATATATATATATATATATATATATATTAGTATAATGGTAAGGTTGATTGGGTTAGCAGCTGAATAATGAAAGCCAAAGTGTGCTCTTTTCAACGACTTCGCTATATTTCGTTAAATTTCTTTAACATCTTCAGACGAATGTTGTGTGAGGTTGCAGGCAAAAGTGGTATTTGAAAGTTCCATGTTGAAAAACTTTTTTGAAGATTTTTTATAGCAAAAAAAAGGAATAAGTTGTATGTGTTATATGGTGGCTTGAAAACTCAAACAATACAAGTGCATTTTTGTTATTTTCTTCCAGTGTGCTAGTACAATACAAATATTAAAAAACATTAAACATTTAAGAAACAAAACAGTTAAAACACAACTACATATCACATTGACATTTTTTGGACCAGTATCAATATGAAAAAGGATACTGGTCCAAAAAATGGTCCAAAAAAGTGTTTTAACTGTTTTGTTTCTTAAATGTTTAATGTTTTTTAATATTTGTATTGTACTAGCACACTGGAGGAAAATAACAAAAATGCACTTGTATTGTTTGAGTTTTCAAGCCACCATATAACACATACAACTTATTCCTTTTTTTTGCTATAAAAAATCTTCAAAAAAGTTTTTCTACATGGAACTTTCAAATACCACTTTTGCCTGCAACCTCACACAACATTCGTCTGAAGATGTTAAAGAAATTTAACGAAATATAGCGAAGTCGTTGAAAAGAGCACACTTTGGCTTTCATTATTCAGCTGCTAACCCAATCAACCTTACCATTATACTAATTAATAATTGGACAGCTGTGATCATTCTTCGTTTATATATATATATATATATATATATATATATATAATATATATATATATATATATATAATTAATAACCCTTCTACCCTAAGGTGTTGGGTGAATGCAATATAGAAGACATAAATGGATGGGTGACAAAACGAAAACAGGAGTGAAACGAACATATCAGTAGAATGGCAGAAGATAGAATAGTACGAATAGCATGAGATAAGTCACCAAATGGACGAAGAAGTGTTGGCAGACCAAGAAAAAGATGGTGCGACAATTTAGGAGGCTAATATTGTAGAAGAAACAGGCTTTAAGGTCTACATACTAGAAGGAAGAAGAAGAAGAATTATAAGTAATAAAATTCGCATACAAAACAAAGATGATGCTGCTGTGCATTCCTTCGATCTTGAAGACTTCTAACTTCTAATTCACTCGGGTGAACTCTCTGCAGGCGATTTCCCTGGGGCTGGTTCTTGAAATAGTGGACAAACACTTAAAATTGACGAGGATCTCGAAGGAATTGACGAGGAATTAAAAAGCACGATATATTAACTCAAAATATTTTATTCAAACTTCAGATACAAATATAACAGATTACTATTACATTAATATCAGACTGTCATGAACTAAAAAAGTTGGTTTTACAATGCTTTATTTATAATCATTACACTTGCTGAATTTACTGTTTTAGTAAGTTGCAATTGGTGTTGCAAGGCTCCGGAATATTCGGTGCTGATATGCAGTAACTTCTTATTGAATTCCCGTGGTCGAATATACTGGATTCCAGCGGTCGTTGTACTATAACTCGCATCATAAGGGCCATCACATTTTACTATTTTTCTTTTGGGTAAAATGTCTTGTATGGCTATTAGGTTTCCAAGGGCAGACAATGGAAATTGTCATCGACCTGGAGTCAAAACATTATTAAATGTAAAATTTGGAATACTGTAAATCCATACATGGAGGTCTTATAGACAACTTTACTGTTAGCAACAAATACATAAGGCACTGAGGATGATCTGTTCAGATTGAAAACGTTCTGTCAGAATTTAAATGTTGACGACACTTTTATAAAGTTTTAAATATTTGTTTGTTTTTATACCACAATACACATGTGTGAAGTGTTTTAACTTCTGTGTTTTTTTATAATTTTATTAATGTTGTTAATTATTCTGTCATTGCTGCTCCAGAGCAAGAAACATTCATAAATTCGGTCAATCACATGGCTCCTAGTCTGCGGCGGACATTTAATGGTGGAGAGGTGCTAAGATTCTATGCAAGGAGGAGCCATCCGAATGTGGCAATTAACTATATACAAAACAAATATTTACTGTATACAAACATTTGGGGGGTTTAAGGGAACAAAACCCTCATAAATTATGGGGTGTACAAAATTCACTATTATTATTATTTAAGATATTCATCATCATTTTGGCTTTACAACCTAGTGTGTCCTAGTGGGTAGTAGGGAAAGTGGAAGGAAGAATAGGTCCAGGAAGAAGAAAATGCTCCTGGTTGTAGAATGTAAGAGACTGGACAGGTATGGACACACATTCGATACTAAGAACAGCTCAAGATAGAGAGCAATTTGCTGTAGTTATGGCCAACCTTCAGTAATGGAGAAAGCACCTTAAGAAGAAGAAGTATCTAGCCTCCCCAAGAATTTTTTTCCAGTCGTCCCTATCCATCGTCGTGTTTTGGGTCTTCCTCTTCTTCTTTGACCAATAGGTCTATCAATGACCGTTTTTCTAGCTGGGTCGGTTTGCTCCATTCGCATTACATGGCCTACCCACCTCAAACGTCCTATCTTAATGTGTTTTACGATATCTGGTTCCTGGTATATTCATTAGAGTTCGAAGTTGTATTGTCTTCTCCAGACACCATTTTCATTTACCGCTCCATAGATTCGCCTTAGTATTTTTTTTAGAGATTTTAGAGAATTTAGAAGATCTTCTTCATAGACTGCCATATCCCTACGGAACGTCGGCGACTACCATGCTTATAATATTGTTATACTGATCTAGGTCTTGCGCTACGTGTAGCAATTGTGTGTAGCAATTGGTCCGCTGTCAAACCTGTCCACTGCCGCAAATTTCTCAACCAAGAGAGTTTCTTCCGTCCTATCCATTTCTTTTCTTCGATTTTACCGTTGAGAATTAGCCGAAGGAACTCATATCTTGGTCCTCTGATTATATGTCCAAGATATTCAAGTTTACGCCTCTTAATAATATTTAATAGAGTTCGTTGATGTCCCATTGAATTTTTAGTATCCTTCGATACAACCACATCTCAAACGCCTCGATTTTATTCATGATATCGGCGTTTAAAGTCCAAGTTTCACATCCATACAAAAGTACAGACCACACGTAACATCTTGTAAACTTTTCACGGATTTCAAAATTTAATGAGTTATTGGATAATAGAGGCTTGAATTTTTGAAATGAGTTTCTTGCCTGTTCAATTCTACATCGAATTTCGAAGGATGGATCTAGATTTTGGGTAATCCAACATCCAAGGTATTTGAATCTCTGAACTCTCTGCAGCGGTTGTTGGTTTAATATCAGTTGGGTTGCGCCGATATCCACTTTACTGGTCACCATGTATTTAGTTTTATCGATATTTATCGACAGTCCCCAATTTGTGCATTCCATGTCAACTCTATTGATTAGCTCCTGCAGATCGTCGATGTTTTCAGCTAGAATCACAGTATCGTCGGCGTACCGTATATTGTTAATTATTTCTCCTCCTATGATAATTCCTTTTTGATCTTTTAAAGCTGCCCTAAATAGATTCTCAGAATACACGTTAAAGAGGGTGGGAGATAGTATACAGCCTTGTCTTACGCCTCATTCAATACTGATTGGCTTTGATTCTCTGTTGTTGGTATTAATAATGGCTGTTTGGTTCCAGTAAAGTTTGGCAATAAGTTTGATGTCTTTCTCATCTAGTTGGATGCTCTGCAAGGCGGTAATTAGTCTGGTATGCTGAACGCGATCAAATGCCTTTTCAAAATCAATGAAGCACATATATACGGGTTTTCTTACCTCCCAACATCGTTGAAGGAGTGTTTGCATAGAAAATAGTGCTTCTCTAGTTCCAAGGCATCTCCGGAACCCGAACTGCTCTTGACTAATTATTTCTTCGCACTTGTTGTTAATTCTGTTTAGAAGAATATGCAACAGTATTTTAACGGCATGGCTCAATAAACTAATGAGTCTACAATCGCTACATTTCTTAACGTTTGGTTTCTTAGGTAGAGGAATAAAGATCGATTTTAACCAGTCCGATGGAATTTCACTGGTATCATATATTTGATTGAAAAGTACAGTGAGTTCTTTTATATTGTCATTTGAGAGTAATTTTAGCCATTCGCTGTATATTTGATCTGGTCCACTGGCTTTGTTGTTTTTGGCTTGGTGTATGGCTTTTTACACTTCAGCTTTTAAGATTGATGATCCTGTATTTGCACTTAAGTTAGGCAGTGATCCTCGATCATCCTTAAATAATGCTTTAATGTAGTTTTCCCATTCCTCCATTACTTCGTCTTCTAGGGATAGTGCATGACCTTCATTATTCGTTAATGTTATGGGTGTATTTCTTTTGTGTACTGTAACTTTTTTTATTTTCTTATGTGTGTTAAATTCGTCATGTTTTCGTTGCAATTCTTCTAGTTCCTCACATTTTGTTCGCATCCATAACTCTTTGGCTTCCCTGATTTTTCTTCGAATCAGATTATGCTTTCGTTTATACTCTGAGTTATTTCTATTTTTAAGCTGTCTTCTTTCGTCCATCATTTCGATTATTTCATCTTTCATCCACGCTTGCTTTTTATAATGGGTGACAGTTCCACTTTGCGTTTTTTACCATATTCCTGCCATAATAAAGCCACATGTTCATTTTCAATATAAAATCTCAGTTTTCGATATACTAGAAAAAATCGATTTTCACTTTGTAATTTCAAAGGGCTATAACTTTTTTTATATGCACATTTGTATTAAGGTAAGTTCGGTTCAATCGAACTATTTTTGGTCCCAGAAAACGTGATTTAACTTATGAACTACCTTTTTGTTACACCCTGTATTTCGTGTTTGTTCTCAAATGTGTGTCAAATTTCCTAGTAACTTTTCTTTAAATTATCGTAAAAAAATGAAAAGGTTTCTTATGTTATTAGGTACTCTAAAATAAAATACAGATAGGTACACATAAAAATTGCTGTCAAGGTTTGTGAAAAATATGTCCAAAAAACTCGATTTTTCTCCTCTAATAATATCTATTGACAAAAAAGAATCAAATTATATATTCACGTCGGTCGGGATAATGATATGCAAGCGTACCTATAGTGGGTGGACTGGGAAATGAATAAATTGAAAATTATTGGTATAGAATTGTCCGCCAGGGAATTGTAGATACACGTTCTAATATCGAAGGTAAGCTAATTTATGTATATATAGCAGGACGTTTCAACGTTGTGACATTATTATTAGAAATTTATATATGTCAAGTATTATACCTAACAATTTTGTTTGGAACTATGACAAAGGAAGATAACTGATGGTTTAGAACTGATGGAATGAGATCAAGTCGGTTTTTTTATGAACTCAAATTAAAATTACAATCTATTTAAAAAAGTACTTTGTTCATTTACATATCGTGTAGAATCCTCTTCCAATGGAGAGTTGTGAAAGTTGACGACATAGCATGAGATGTAAAGGACAAGTACATTCTAAGTATCCATTCTGCGTTCAAGACACCTAGATTACCACCTATAAATCAAATTGAGCCTAGGTTGTAACCTTAAAACTTAAGAATGTATAAATATATTCTATAAAACTACATTATGTGCTAAAAAAATTATTTTTTTGCAGCTATCATACGCAGATACACACCCGATGTTCACCAAAGAAAATTTTCCAAATTTTTTTCGGATAGTACCATCCGAAAACGCATTCAATGCCCCAAGACTGTCTCTTCTAAAGGAATTCAATTGGACCAAAGTCGGTACTATTTATCAGAACGAACCTCGGTATTCTTTAGCTCACAACAGGTAAAGTTTTGGCATTACTTTTATTTACGTAACCTCTCAAAAATCGGCTGCTTAAAGGTCGATTCTCACTATACATTTACTTTCCATATCCATGGCTTTCCATTTACATAAAATATTATTAAACACAAATCATGTAGTATATGCCCACTTTCCGTTACGTTTACCTACCATTTCCGAAGCCTCGCGTTCAAGATTACTGGCCACGTATGTTTTCTGCGACAAGCTGCGACGTGTCGAGTACGGTATGGATAGTGCGAATATTATTACATCGCGGTTCAGTCGAAGTTGTTAAGAGAAATATGAATGACGAAACATTGATAGAACTTGTCAGGCAAAATAATGCCTTAATCAGGGCAAGCTAGTCAGCAAATAAAGAAATCGCGATATGCCATTAAAATGAGTTTTTTAGAACCAAACGTACGTCAAAGAGATACAGTAAGTAACATCGAAGATTCTTTAACTGGTACAAGTCATATGAATTCGTCACGGCAAATAGAAAATAATATTAATAGTGAAGACACGACCGAAACAGCGCAAGATACTCCATTAACATCCAGAGATGAAAACGGCTCAACTCCAATAAAGAAGCCAAAGATAGTTTTCAGCAAAAAGCTTGAAAAGTAGCAAACCATGAGGTTTCTGCAAGTTCAGAACTTATGAAATATCTCATTCGAAAACAGGAAACTGAAGAAAATTGTCGGGTTCTAAAACCGGACACAACTGATGTATTTTTTCAGAGCATTGCTGCCAAAGTCAAAAAGTTTATTCCATATCATCGGAATATTACAGAAAACAAAATTTTCAATCTATTTCAAAAACTAGAATTTTACAAACGCAAGGTCAACCATCAATTCCATACAGCCAATATTTTTTACATCAAAATGGTGGTGTACAGGGTGCTTCCCCAATGATGCTTACCACGTATATACCTCCATCAACATCCCAACCATCAACTTCGAAATTTTTACATCAAAATGATGGTGGACAGGCTGCTGCCCTAATGAAGCCTGCGTTTTATATACCTCCATCATCACCCTCACCTTCAACTTCGGTAGGGTCTTATCTCGCAACATACTCTTATGATGAGGATAACTCATGTTAATTGTTGTTAACAGTTTTGTATAATAATTTGTAAAAATATTATTATAAAAAATATTAAACTTATCTTATATTATATAACAAAAACACAGTTTTTGCTTAGCTTTAATCGATTCCCTGAATCTAGTATCCTTTCTTGTTATTAGTTCTCTAATAGACAACAGTAATTCGAAGAACTTGAATCTTGGCATTCAAAACTATTCAAAGCATTTAGTATCGTCATCCATAAGTTCTTTAAACAAAGTTATGTATTCTCCTTCAGTATTTCTATGTTTCAACATATTATGTATCCAATATTTCCGTTTCCTTTTTTTATTTAAATTATTTTCTTCATCCTATATAATAGCTGTTATCATTAAATTTTCTTCAGACCACATTTTATCAAGCAGGAAAAAACACGCGTATTCCTGTCAAAAACTTGGAATCAAATGTTACCAAACAGAACGTAAACGTAAAGTAAACGCCACGTCTACTGAGAATGGTGGTTAAAATAATGGGAGGTATATGGAACGGGTATGGAAAGTAAACGGAACGTATAGTGAGAATCGACCTTAATTCTCACTTAAAACCATGTGGACTTCTTAAGACGTTGGAAACGCTGTTTTTTAAGTTCCTCGCATAACTCACTGAACAAAGACTGCCAAATAGCATTTTGAGTTTAAATTCACCTCTTAACTTATGAAATTAAGCAAAAAAATTGTAGGTTTTGAAAACTATATTATCGAGATCTTATCTGTCCCGAATTCAAAGTACTTCTCCAACTGCTTCTACACTTGACATCATTTTTCGATGACACAAAATGAATAACGAAAAACAATAACGAATTTTCAGAAGAAAATCCGGACTCAAACAATAAAACTAACTGTATTCGCGGTCTATGGTAGCGTGATATCATTCTTCCAAATCATTCTCTTCCCCG